CTTTGCTGCTGTCTCCTGGTGCAAAGGGGTTGTGGTTCACTCTGGTACTTAGTGGCTGAGGACACCACTCAGATCAGCCTGGTCTTGCTCATCCATTTCAGTTAGAAGATGACTTAAAAGTGTCTGGACCTTCTCATGGGTGGTGCACAGAGATGGCCACCATCAAAGCCAGGAGGCAACCCCATTTCAGGAAGGCTGACTCCTTGGAGAAGGCTCCTGCGCTGCCTTGCTCTCGTTACCTACCCACAGGAGGTGCATTGGGTGGGGAACTTCTTGAAGGACAGTTGTTAGTTTGAATGCTGTAGAGTGACAGAGGCTGGAAATGCTCCATCAGCTGAGCACGGGAGCTCCATCACCCTGAGCCTGGCCGAGGGGCTTCACCACGGGGAGGGACCCAGTGTCGACTCCCTCCACCGAGCATCCCACTGCTGAGCCAGCTGGAGGAGCCAGTTATTTGCTTTAATATTAACACTCCTGAGCCCTGGCCTGGGGTTGGGTAAGGAAGAGAAGTGGCAGATTTCCCAGTTGGCGGGAGAACGGTGTTAAAAGCAAACCGGCAACTGGGCACGGACTTTCTTGGAAAACTTTTAAATTGCTTACTCTTTAATGCTGTGGTTTAGGTTCAATGAATCTTTAGAGCTTGCTTTTCAACTTCCTGAAAATGCCATCTGATCATGAAATTAGAGCTAAACTAATAAGTCTCAACAAATATTAATCTAATGAATTTAGCTTCTTTCTGTTTGTTGACCAGCAAAGAGGGAATTGCAATGTTCTCATATGTATTAATTATTTGAATGTATTCAACGAACCTTTCCTGACCGCTTTAAGTGTGCGGCTTGGTCATGAATATTCTAACTCCAAGTTTTGTTTCTTAGTTGCGATCACCCTGTAAATTGAAGTACAGTTGCCAATCGGTTTGGGCAAAGAAGTTGATCGATGGGAAGGCTGGGTCTTGCATGCAAGCTCTGAGCTCTGCAGGCTTTCCATCTTCTGGTGGTCTTTCATCTCAGATGGACTCTGAATGTCTGCAGGGTGAACTGGGTGGGAAAAGGTACTCTGCAACGTTTCAAGTCCTGGATCTGCAGGTTTCTTGGTGGTAGCTGGGGTGAGGGATGTACAGGGCCTGGAGGCTGGCAGATGCTCCTTGATGCCTCTGGGTGGTTTTGGTGGGGCTCACTGTGATCATAAATGTTCGGGGTGTCTCTGGTGAAGTCTGGGGCATCGCACTGAGTTGTTGGGTTTGCTGGCTTATTTCCTAGATATTGGAGTCAGAGTGGTGTCAAGGTACCCCTTAAATGTGAGATGCAGCACAGCTCTCAGCCGGGCAGAGCGGTGTTTGGGCTGGTCCCCAAATTACATGAGCAAGCTGGGAGCTTTGCCAGCAGCAAACCCGCTGGTCCTGCGCTTGCATACAGCTCCAGAGCCAGCGTAGCTGGGGGGTTCAGGTGGGTCAGACCAGGACCACAGGAAACCTGGTCAGCTGGAGCCTTCCTCCTTTCACAGCTCGGCCTCTGCTGATGAAATGGGGTTTGGAAGCCAGAAACTCCCCGGGCAAGATCCCCACTTGCTTCCCTGAGGACCCAAGGGGCAGAGCTGTTCCTCACTGGATCAGGGCAGTATTTTAATTAATATGTGCCTTGCTCAGCTTCGGAGCATCGTCTTGGAGGAAGCCTTGGGCGGGGGGGG